TACCAGAAAGCAAGGAAGGCTCCAAAAAAGGATGGGGGCATGTTGAGAGGACACAGGTACTAACTTGAAGGAGCTCCCAGAGTTAAATATGGGACATTTGAACAGCAAAGTAAATAATGATAGTAATGGATTACAATCCATAGAACAAAATAAACTGTGAATCATGCTTAATTTAAATAATTGAAAAAATAACTGAAGGAGAAGGAACAACTCTTGCTTACATAGAATTCTAATTAATAAATATAGAAGTAATGATAGAAATAGGAAATAACTGTTGGGCAAACACCACAGTAGTGATTATTGCAGACCAGACCCCCCTGTACATGCTAAAGTTAGTAGGTCAAAGTATGGTGACAAATGGGATATTTGCATAGTCTCAAAGTTATCTCTTCACAAGGTACTTAAGATATAAAGGAAAAACACTAACTTTATTGAGAAACCTAGACATCACATTAAACAAATGTGCAAAGTTACCATCTTCTGTAACAGCAGCATGTTACCTCCTGATAAAATGCATTGAAAAGTGCAGCATCACTTCTATGGGGATTTTTTTCCCCATTGTTTTAAATTATATTTTTTATTTTGAAAAAAATGATAGATTCACATGTAGTTTTATGAATAATACAGAGATTCCATGTATTCTTTACCTTCTTTCCCCTAGTAACAAGTACAGTTGCAAAATTGTAGTTCATTATCATAACCAAGATATTGATAGTGATGTAGTCATATTACAGACATTTCCATCGCTACAAGGGTTCCTGGCATTGCCCTTGTGTAGCCTCACCCCTTTTTTTTAAAAAAAGATTTATTTACCCCAGAGAGAGAGAGAGTGTGCAAGAGCATATGAGCAGGGGGAGGGGAAACGGAGAGAGAGAATCCCAAGCAGACTCCCTGCTGATTGGGGAGCCCAATGTGGGGCTTGATCTCACCACCCCAAGATCATGACCTCATGACCCCAGGATCATGACCTGAGCGGAAATCAAGAGTTGGAAGCCGAACTGACTGAGCCACCCAGGCACCCCGGCCTTGCTCCTTTTAAAAATTGGGCTGCTTATTTTCTGTTATTGAGTTGTAAGATTCTTTATATATTCTGAATCATATGGAGTTTCCCTTCCAGTTTGTTAATATAGTGAATTACACAGATTTTTTAGTATTAAAAATTGTAGTAAAATACACATAAAATTGACCATCATAATGATTTTAAAGTGTATGGTTCAGTGGTATCAATTACATTCATATTGTTGTACAACCATCACCACTATCCATCTCCAGAACTCTCTTTATCCTGCAAAACTGAAACTCTATACCCATTAAATAGCTCCCTGTTCTCTCTTATCTACTGGCCCCAGGCAATCACTATTCTGTTTTCTTCCTATATGAATTTGATTAATCTAAGTGGCTCATATAAGTGATATCATACAGTATTTGTCTTTTTGTGACTGGCTTACTTCATTTAGCATAATGTCTTCAAGGTTCATCCATGTTGTAGCATGGATTTCCTTACTCTTTAAGGCTGGATAATATTCATTGTATATTCCACATCTTGTTTTTCCATTGATCTGTCTGTCGACAGATGGTTGGGTTGCTTTCACCTTTTGGCTAATGTGAATAACGCTGCTATGAACATGGTTTTGCAACGACTCTCTTTAAGACCTTGCTTTCATTTCTTTTGGGTATATACCCAGAAGTGGAATTGCTGGATTATATCTAGATTTTTCTTTTACTCTCTCTACTTTCTATTCTGCAAGCCCTGTCTCTCTCTGAATATCTTTTCCTTTTAGAGATTTAAGTTTTAAAAGTTCTCATCTATTTATTTCTTTAAATAACATAGTAAACGCTTAATAAAAAGACTGTTCAGAGAACAGAGTATAGTGGTTATTGAATTTCCGGACTGAGTGGCCAGGAACCCCCTTTTGTTTTAGTCCTTGCTATTGCAGTGTGTTAGTTTGTTTAATAAAAAGTACAGTATAGCAGACATAATTGAATTTCTGGTAATTCAGGATCTTGTGGTGCTGCAGAGCTATCATTACAAATATAGACTCACAGTACAGTATACCAGAGGGCAGAAGTTATTGGGGAGTGGAACGAAGTACAAACCCTTCTGTACTCTTTATAAAACTAAATCTTTGATACAAGTTTGTTTTCTCCTGCTAAGTATGTGCTATAAGAAAATCAAACAATATAGTGTTAAAATTAATTGATGTTTGAAAGATGTTTACTAAACTTAGTTTCTCATCTGGCCGTCTTTACTACTTTTTTCTTCTGTGCCTTCCTCTTTGCATCTGTATGCCCATATCACCAGATAATGGGCTGTCACCCTAGCTCGGAGTAAGCACACTTAGTAGGTGTAACTTGTAGAAGCAGATGGAATCTGGAGTGCAGTATTCTGCACATCTTTGTCTCCAGCTACATTTCTCTTTCTTTTACTATACTTCAAGGAAGAAAAACAGAGCTTTGGAGAAGACAGGACTAGAGAAAGAAAGAGGTAGAAGAGCTGAGATGAAGAGAAAGAGCAACAAATTTTTGAAGAAGCACAAAGGAGGAAAAGAAAGACGAGGGTAGGGCTGGGGGGGGCAGTGGTGGGGAACAGGGGGAAGGACAGGGTGGTTACAGCAGTCCCAAAGTCAGGCTTCATGGAGTCCCTTCTTTGGACTAAATAAAGTCCTGAACCCTGTGAGCCTGAGGAAGAATTTCTAGGAACTTCTACAGTGTGACAAGTGGATAACTAAACCAGAGGTCACTTGGGCCAGGATGAACTTAATCAGCATCCTACAACAGGCATTTCTTGAGTGCCTTTCATCCACAGCCTCCTGAACTCAGTAACCACCAGTCCCCCAGCCAAGAACAGAAAAGACCAAACTCCATTCCAGATGTTTTATTCACTCACTCTGTGAACACAAGGGGAGCAGTCCCCCAAGTTCTGCGAGTAGTCCCTTCTCTGTCCTTGCCAGACACATCTTTCTCTGGTCTTGGGGCTGGAAGATTGGAGGGGAGGCTTGAAGTTCTGCCTTCTTTGCCCCTTCAGCTGATAATGCCCGTGATGCTTGGATGTGGAGGTCCTACTGTACCAGACTATCAATTAGTCTTATTGATTTGAACTTTTCTTGACAAGTAGTAATACTGTACTGGCTTTATAGATAACAAAGAAATAAAGATAACTGGCATATTTGAAACATAGTTCCCCAGGCAGGTGTGATGGGTTCTTCTCACTTGTATTTTTATCAGACTATTATATAGGGTTTGTATGATATATATATGTGTGTGTGTGTGTCCAGGCTTCAAAGCAGACCTAAGAACCCAAAGGCTTAACAGTTTTAAATGTACCTTTCCCATGTGTTACTCCAGAATGAAGACGAATATATTTTTCACATAATTTAGTTACAATGAAATGATAACAACTAAGCGTACATTTTTGTACAGTCGTCAGGAAACAGAAATAAAAAATACAGGCAGGCTAATTGAGCCTAATAGATTACTGATGTTGCACTATTTGTGGCCTAGTTTGCTACTCACATTTCTGATCTGAAATTGCTGTTCTCCCGTGGCCTAAATAAGTTGTTAAAAAGTCTAAGGTAGTTTTCCTTACAAATGTGATTTCTGTCCTAGAATTGCCAGTCTGACCAAGAAATAAACAGGAGCAGGTGCTATGCCCAGTGAGCAAATTGCTTGCAAAGAGATGCTCATGAGGATATCAGGAATCGGTAGTCCTGAGCCGGGGCGGTTCTGACCCCTAGGACTCTATGATAATGTCTGGTGACGGTGTTGAGTGTCATGCCTGAGGTGGAGGTGCTCCTGGCTTCTAATGGGTAGAGGTCAGGGGCCGCTGCTAAACATCCTACGGTGCACAAGACACCCCCGAACAACAAAGAATTATCTGATCTAAAATGGCAGTAGTGCTAAGGTTAAAACGTGCTGTCATAAATATGCAGAAGATACAGTATGGACTGATAATCAACTATATTAGGAAAAACCCAAGATGGTGTCTACAATTGTGACTGTCTCAGTTTTTCAGGGTTTTTTTTTTAACTTTCAGATTTCTATTTTGAAATCATTTTAGATGTACAGACTATCTCTATTTCCTTAGCACTTGGTACATGAGAGGCTTTGCAAAATGTTGAGTGAAATGAAAGAGAACAAAGAAAGAGACACATTAGGGACAGATCTGTTTAGGTTTCACTTCCACGGTGAGCTGTGTGAAACACTGCTCAGAGCAGAAAGTTTGTAGATAAGCTTGGTTTCCTGGAAACACCCAGTAGGTCACCCCCTACACCACCCGTACCCATGCTTCTGCTTAGCTTGGGTTGCTTAGTGCCAGTGGAATTGGTGGCAGGGAGAACTTCAACTAATTGGGCCATGAATGAGCTTGGGTCTTGAAAGAGATCATTTCACACCCTATTACCTTACCCCAGCCCTTGCTGGTGGCTAGGACAACCCTACAGGGCATTACCTATTAAATCTGTGTGTATATATGTATTCTGATGAAAACGTGGAAACCTAAAATGTGGAAGTCTTCTGTAATCCTGATAATGAATTGGTATATAGTCTTCCAGTTTTTAAATGTATATATTACACATATATTAATATATAATTATTAAAGATAGAATGGAATTAGAATTTTATAGTCTACTATTTTACAGCGTGTTTTTACCGTACTATATCGTGGGCATTCGGTATTATAGTGTGAGGGGTAAAACATTTAAAATTGTCTGTAACGTAAGGATTTTAGTATATACCCACTTCAGAAGTATTAGAAAAGACATAAATATAAATTAAAATTTGTTGAGTGTTGTTTCTTAGATGAAAATACCGTGATGTTATTATGTACCACGCTGTATTTTTCATTGATTATAACAATGTTGAGTGATTCTATTACCAGTTTCTTTTGACATTGAAATATTTTTAAAAACATCTGAGTCCTCGGAAAGAAACCGTTATGGCTATGTTAATGTAGTTTGTATCATACTCTTAGATTTCAGCCACCTTTTTGGTGTTCCCCACAGGCAAATACGTGTACCAGCCCATGACCCCCGTGGAGCAGCTTCCGAGCACTGCGATTCCCGCGAAGCCTCGGGAACCCACAAACACCATTCAGATCTCAGTGTCACTCACTGAACACTTTTTGAAATTTGCATCTGTCTTCCAGCCACCCCTCCCCCCTGATTCACCAAGGTACTGTATGATCTCAGACCTCTTTATCGACAACTATCAGGTTAAATGCATTAATGGGAAGATGTGTTATGTGCAGAAGCAGCCAGCGCCGCATTCCCACAAAATGAGCCCCGAGGAGGTCTCTGCACATGATGCCTTAATTTCAAGAGAGAGCAATACACCAAAAATAGATCACTGCTCTTCTCCCTCAAGTTCTGAGGACTCCGGGATCAATGCAATTGGGGCTCACTATGTGGAATCGTGTGATGAGGACACGGAAGAAGGAGCAGAACTGAGTTCCGAGGAAGATTACAGTCCTGAGAGCAGCTGGGAGCCGGATGAGTGCACCCTTCTCTCCCCTTCACAGTCTGATCTGGAAGTGATTGAGACGATAGAAACCACCGTGTGAGAGTCCAGGCAGGAAGCCACAGCCTCTGATCCATGCTGAGCCTTTGTACTTTTGTCTGATGGATCCTTTTTCCAATGCAGTTGGTATTTTCTACCCCTCTCTAACAACCATAGCAGTTCAGTGGTCTGCTGATTAGCATCACTCTTAAATTAGTCTTATAACTAAGACATCCTTTTTCTTATAAATGGTTTTCTTTTGTATCTTGACTTATTTTCTATGTAGCATCTGGTGTCATGAATTGTGACCCAGCCTTAAGTTCACTGGGAACTTTGAAAGCAATGAAGTGATGACCACAGAGTATCGTGGATCAGGTTGAGGAGCTACCCAGAGTGAAGGGGGCAGTGAAGGAGCTGGTTCTTCACACACACACACACACACACACGCACGCACTCACACACGCACACACATACACATCCCTCTTGGCATTCCTTCTGATGTGCCGACAGGCACCCCTACTCTGCTAGCTCAAATGGGAATCAGCTCATGAGAGGGGAACAGAGGGTGTACTGGTAGATGCCATTCTGTCCCTTTTCCCTTCTCCTCACCACCTGCTGGGCCTAGGCCATTGTTGCCTTGGCTTACTTCTGGAGGTACCTGGAGACCCTTGCTCAACCCCTAGTTATGGCCGGAGCTGATACCTTCAGTTTCACGTTTAATCGGGCTTTAGCTGAGTGCCTACGCTCTGCAGGGTGCATCGGGGGGATGCAGACTGAAGAAGACCTGACTCCTGATGGGAAGGGCCCCGCAGTCCGATAGAGGACTGTGCCAATGCATGCAGAATGTTCTGGGGACCCAGGGGAAGGAGAGAGCTTACAGCTGGAGAACATGTTGCAGCATTCAAGCTGGCCTCTTGGGTGGATTCCTCAGTGTTTCCCTGTTTTTCTTAATTGTTCTTCAAATCCGGGGAAAACTTTTAGGAAGTTATATAGGTATTATATTTAGGAGGCAGCCACATCTGACGTCTTAAGAAAAAAAAAACAGTAATAGTTTTAGTTAGCATGGAAATGCTAAAGAGCAGTCCTTTAGGGATTAGGAATGAATCTAATAGGTTTGATTAATTCTGCTTCATTTGGTTGTATGAAGCATTAGAATGATTTAGGTGAGAAATGGATTAGAATTCAGTATGATGCATGGATTTTTTATGCAAATGCAAAAGCAGTTGAAATAGTTTGCTGCTAAGTCAGGAGAAAATATTTTGTGTGATATTCATTCACTTTACTATGGTAATAGTCATAGTCTGTTGTACATGTTCTCTTTTCTCACACACACAAAATAGTGAATAATTCTTATTTAGCTCTCTTCAGAATTCTAATTTCCATTTATACAAGGTGTTTTTGTGTGAGTTGCTTATCTGCCATTTCTCCAGATCTGCTTTCTGTAAGGCATAGTTAAGAATCCAGGAAGTTTAAAATATGGCCCTAATGAAACCAGAACTATCAGAGGTGGAGAGAGAGAAATATGTCTCGTATCCTAACCATGAGTGTGCTCTTGTGGCATTATCTCGTGCTCCGTCCACATTTTGGCACGTCTCTTCTATGTCCCATGAGTTTGTATTTTAAGAAACAAGAAGAGGCCCGTTGTGTTCTTCCCTGAAGCATCCATTTGGCATCCTTCACAAATCCCTCGAGGCAGAGTCTGTTTTCTTAGTAGTATGTATAGTTCACGTGATTGGCTAGAACATTTCGTCAGGCTTAGGTGCCCAGAACATCCCTAGGGATTAGAAAGCTGAGTACACATATTCCTTTGAAAACAGTGTTAGTTAAAACTTCCTATGCTGGGTGAGAATGCAGCATACAGTTCGCACTTACTGAAATGTATAGACTCAACAAGTCACACCAGGCAGGGGGTGAGAGGAGCTGCAGGAACAGCAGCGTACAGGAAAGGACAGGTGGAGGGGTGGGGGGGGCGCAGAGAGCGGCTTCCCGGCCCAGGTGGCTTAGGGACAGACCTCGGATGAGCCTGCCCATGGTTCTCAGTGCCTCCTGTGATGGGGTCACCAGCTGGAGGAGGGCATAAAGGCCCAGTCCTGGGACCCAAGTGGTGCAGCCAGCCACTGTGTGCACCTGCCCTTGGGTGAGCTCACTGAAGCCCCTGGGTGGGCACATGGAGGGTCTTCTTTCTCTATACCCCTCCTATCAGTTCTCAACTCTGGGCCCACATTCCCATTCATTAAACTGATTGGAGTCAACCACCAGGTCTCCAAAGCCATGGAAATACGTGGTCACAGGGCCACGTTTCTGAAGCTGGTTGTGTCAGGGTTGGGGCCTTTATTGGTAATATCTACGACTTTTGCCTAGGTTCCTGTTTTTTAAACTCCTGAACTGCCATTCAGATTACCCATGATTTTAACGGAATTTTTGGATTTAATAATGGTTGATAATCACTTTAAATATTTGCACAATCTCTTTATAATTAAAAACTCACTAAGCTTCACTTGCTACTGTTTTATAGAATTGGAGATATTCCATTGGATTCTAAATATCAGATGCTCCTGGATCTCAAAATAGCCTTTTCTACACAAGCACAAGCAAGAATTTCTTTGTCCTAGCACTGTTAATAATTCTCTGAAATCATATATAATTGAACCAGAATTGTTTCTTTATGCTTGCATTCCAAAAACAACTGATAAGGATATAAAAATGTGTATTTACAACTTAAATTCTAGGCCTAACCTGTTATATATTATATAAAAGAATTTCTCTGTAAACCTGATATTATATTGCTCATTTGTATAAGTATATTTATAGGCACTTTAGAAAATGTTTAGACTGTAATGTGTATTATAGACCTCAAACACAGTCATGTTAAGTAGTCTTTTGGTTAATACTTATCCATTGACAGGTATGAAAACTTTATAGCGTGAACCTGGTAGTTTGCTCACTTGGAGCAAAGGGTTGGGCTGTGTGGATGGAGAAACTGCTTTTGGGGTCCTTGATGGAAACCTGGCTCCATTCCCACTTCTGGCAAGTTGGTGTAAAAGCTAGTAGGCGGACGATGCCAACTCAGTGCTGTATGGAATGTAGCTTTCTTACCGAACCAGCATTGATTTTAGGATTTTCATGGTTTGAATATGTTCATAACTTTTCTGAGAAATGACAAGCCAATTAAAATGCTTTTGTGGTCATAATTCTTTGGCACATTAACAAATAAGGCTTTACTGTCAAATCTAGGTATTTTTTTTTTACCTTGTAATTTTTAAGATTTGAAGTAAGAATTTGAGAAAACCCTGGAGAAAAACCAGTTGCTTTCCTGGAAAAGGAAAATGTGTACTTCAAGGTAATACAATATAAAACCAAACCAAATGAAAGCACCCAAACCAAAACAAAGCTGCGAAGTGGTTGTCCTGAGGTACCATTCGGATTTGATCCAGGATTGGATCCTGTTTTAGGACTGGTTGTTTTATTTTTTAACCTTAACCTCCACTTCCTGGCCTCTTTGAAACCGTTCTTTTGGGACTAATCATAACAAACGCCTTTTATACAAATTTGTCTATCTGGGCAACAGGACACCACCTATTTTAGAAAGCTGTCAAAATACCCAGACGTGTTCAGCGGTTTAAATACTTCTGGGCAAGGGGAAACAAGCACAAGTTAAACTAATATTTATACATCAGCTCTTGATTTTTCCATCTTGTTTGCCAAGTTGTATTGACATGTTTTGGCTTTTCACGTGAGGGGAAACATTTTACAGTTTTCTCTCCTACTCCCCTCCCCACGGGAGGTGGGAGCCAGAATTGAGGCCAGTTGCATTCTAGGCTTTTCGGTGAACAGTGTGGGATTGTGTCTCTTCCCGTTGAGGAGGAGAGGGGAAGGAAATGGGAGTTGGACTAACCATCTCAGTGCTGTGAATTCTAGGGTTGTATGTATTTCTCACCTCCAAACATAAGTATAAGGGCACTTCTCAAAATTAATTTTGAAATTCTTTACCTTTTAAAAATGTTATGTCTCTGCTCCCTTTCATTATTCTGGGGAATGGAGAGTTGACTGTACTGCGTGTGGAAGGGCCGTGTTTCTCTGAGTGCTTAGAGTTCTGTTGGGACTGAAGTGGTGCTCTTTTACTAGTGTGAACAAGTCTGAAAGCACATGGTCACCAGGGGCTTGAATATTGAGCTTCTGCATCATTGTGTCCATATACACTTTCTAAGGCTGTTCATACCTTGCAGTAGTCACTTACTGTGCTACTTTTTGCACCTGTTCTATGTTAAAGTTTTAAGCACAATGTTGACCCCTCTGTAATTTCCTAAAATTATATTGTTTTCCTACAGACAGCTCAACTTTATGTATAATACTTTAGGAAAATACTTACTTGTAAAATAAATGTAATTTTTTTCTTTTGTAACAGCTCAAATCTGATATTTTGGAGTTTGGAATATTCTCTCCCCTCCCTTTCTTCTTTGGAGAGGTTCTGTCTGGTTTAAATAACACATCGTGAACAAAACAAAAACAGAAACCCGCATTTGTGAAATGTGTAACATGTATATTGAGTGCTTACTTTGTGCCAGGAAATAACACAGTTCACATCATCATCACACTTGACTGTACAAAAACTACGAAGCGCAGCGGAGCATTACTACTCAAAATGGTAATATACTCACAGTCAACTACTCACAACTCCCAGAACACTTTGCAACAAGGACTTTTTCGTTGGCTACATCAGGTTTATACTAATATACTTACCCCGCCCCCCAGTCTTTATTTCACACCAAGCCACAGCTTTGTATTTGGTTTACACATGCCCTGTGAGACACTTCTAACCATAGGTCCCGGGGGTGCAGTCGCTTGTCACCAAGGCCCAGGGTCCAGACCTCGGTGTGGCAAACCCAGAGGCTCAATTCGCTAATTCACACCTAGAAAAGAGCAGCTTCTGGGGTCGGGTTTCATCGAATAACCTCACTAGGGACTGCTAAATAAATTTGCTGATGAGTAACAATGATAATGCCATTGTTACGGTTATTAGGAATTGCAGCCCAGCCTTGCTGTTCAGGGCAGCCCTCTAAGGGAGATTTCAGCGCTGCATTTCACGGATCCGGAAAAGTGCTCGAGGAGTAAATACTTTTGCCCCAAGTGACACCACTTTGTAGGTAGCCGGAGTCAGAGGGAACCCAGCTCCTTTGGCTCCCGAGCTCCTGTTCTCGGCCCTTTGCCTGAGTTGCTCCCTCTGGTGGCTCCTCTTCCCAAGCTCAGGGTAGTTGGAGGCTGAGCCCGGACGCTGCTGGGGAGCCTGGGAGCAGGGCGGAGGGGGTGACGTTCCATCTCTAACCCAGCGCACCCCTGCCCACAGGCTGGTGCACCCCGCCTCACCCGGTGGGGCTGCTCTGCAGGCGGTGTCCCAGCAACACCAACAGACTCCCTTCCTCCCCGCCTTCTGTGCTCCACACAGACCACCCCCAGCACACACACACCATCTTGCAGACATTTCAGTGCTTTGATGAGGCTGTGGCTTCTTCCATGTTTAATCACATCTTGACTAGCATTCTAGGCTAGCCGTTTCTGCCTTCACAAAAGACGACTTGTCTTAAAAGGACTTTTGCCGACAGCTAATCTCATCTACTGCATGTGCATTTTACTCACTTAACTCTACATAATTGTACTGCCAAGTTCTAGAAGGCATCTCATTGTAGCCTCCTACAAATGCTGACTACATACACTTGTATTCTGCAATAAACTTTAATTTAGCATCTCGTCCTCATTACAGTGCAATCACTGCAAACTGGTAATGTCTTTAACCCTTGCCGTGCCACCCCATTCTGTGCTGACCAAAGGGAGTGAGGCAGGACCTTGGGCCTCAGGCTTGTCACAGTAGGGTTCAAGGAGGTGCAGTCAGAGGTCAGATGGAATTCTGCAGGAACCAAGCAGGTGTGGGAACTGATGGAAATGAAAAGCAAGGCAAAGCAAACATGGCAGCTATTAGTGGTGTCTTTCTGTTTGCCTTTTTGAATTTTCCTAGTTGTCTAAAATGAATTGATACTACTTTATAATCAGAAACCCAGGAAATTATTTTGAAGAGGATGAGTCCTAGGGCCGTGAGTGCAGGCGGAGCATTTGCAGGGTGTGTGGGGTGGAGGTAGAGAGCCCACAAGTCTGGGTGGTGACTCACCCGCTCAGGCACCTGCTGGATGGGATTAAAGGCTGGACTGGGGCGTGTGTGTCCTTGAACTAACCAGCCTCCACTGAGCAGTGACCCCATTCCAGGCCTCCAACTGTGGATGGAAAGTTCTTGCGCCAGTGGGTTGGAGAAAGAGGAGAGGATTTGTTTCTTACTGTCTTTCTCAGTCCCCAGCCTGAAGCTCGGCAGGTGAATTTGGAGATGGGAGAACAGAAGGCTTGGGCTTCGTTGGGTTACCTTAGCCCTCTGTATCACCTAGTGTAAGACCCTAGATGATTTATCCCAAGGAAGAGATCTGGAGTGTCACCGCAAGATGATGACCATGTGGCACTGTGAATCAGCAAAGGAAGCAACATCTGAATGGGGATGTGACCAAGCATTTTCCCAGATGTCAGCCTATCGTCCACACCCCGAAACTGTGTGGTAGGCGGGAGATGATGATTTCGTGAATTTATAGCTGAAGCAACCAATAGCAAAGTCAACTCTAAAGGCAGGTAAGTGAGTCCCACGTGGCAGGTAAGTAGCAGGGCCAAAACTCCACGTGTCTCCTGAGATTCCAGAGCCAACTGGGGTGACTCCGTCACTTGTTGAGCCTGTGCAGTCAAACCCTGTTCTGCCCCTGCTTCGGCCTATTCCCTCTGTGCTCACTCACCTGCCTCTCTCTTCCCCACACCTGAGGTTCTGAGGTGGTCCGTTGCACACACCCAGGCCCACCTCTCCCTGGACCGGCCCTGGCTCTAGGTGGAGGCGTCAGTGAGCTGCAGCTCAGCCCCCTGGGCACCCCTGATTTTGCCCTTGTTGCTAAGTCGCTCTGGCTTTGTGCCCAGCTTGGCTTGACCTGGACCAGGGTCTGGCCTGGGAGCTCAGACACTGCCTTGTGCTCGGGTGGGTCCTGGATCGAAGAACTCTGTTGGGAATCGGCCTCCGATCATAGCCCTTTTGTTACCTGCTGCCTCTGCCCTCTCCCCTTCTCAGCCCTGTTGGGGTGGGGCCTTTGATGCCAACTGCTTTCCTAATTATTGCATATTCTTCTTTCATCACCTATCTAATCTCTGCTTAAACAGGGCCCCATGCAGTAGACAAAGGGCTGAGATTCTGCCCTCATGTTTAGAACCTGCCTGTGTGAACTGTGATGCCAAAATTCGCAAAGTAAATGTAGGCACATCCACATACCTATAGAAGGACCTGGAAAAGCCATTGCAGTCTATCCACAATACCACTCTAAGAGGGCACATAGGCCAGAAGCTTTTGGGAAGACCCCGGGTTGGGGGACTGCTCTGTGTCTGGAGGGGGTGCTCAAAGAGGAATGAAGGGAGGAATCACCATCTCAGGTGGAGGTGAGAGTATAGTGTGGGAATGTTGACGGGTGATGGGCAGACACATCCTTCTAGAGAGAAGAGGCTGGGTTGGGCAAACCATGAAGTCTTGGTACATGGCACCCCGCAGACTATTAGGAGCAGATCCTGACCTTTGAGATAGTCGTGGTGCAGAGTTCTAAGGGAACAGATGTCAGGCAAGAACGGAGGCCACCGGGCTCCTCGGTTTTGGAGAAGAGCTCCAGTGGGAAGCTGAGGCCCAGCCCCACCAGCAGCTTCATAAGCAGAGCCTGTCAGTCTCCTGAGCCAACCACCTACCTGCTGGCTGGGACAGGAGGCAGATATCAGGGCCTGTGCACTAAAAGCCAAGCTCAGGTGAAGGGTGGGGGTGCGCATCTCCTGTCATACCTATCCCGTGTCCCCCGCCGAAGCTGTAGACATTCATGCAGGCCGGCGTATATTCAAAAAGGTGTCAATTACATCTACCCTTTGACCCTGCAAGATTATTCCTAAGCTTATATCCAACAGAACTGCATACGTATGTTCACTAAAAGACAGGAAGAAGAATGGTAAAAGGCCCATCCTGGAAACAATTCAAATGCCCATTAACAATACAATGGATGGGGCGCCTGGGTGGCTCATTCGGTTAAGTGTCTGCCTTCGGCTCAGGTCATGATCCCGGGGTCCTGGGATCGAGTCCCGCATTGGGCTCCCTGCTCCTTGGGGGCCTGCTTCTCCCTCTGCCTCTCTCTCTCTCTCTGTCTCTCATGAATAAATAAAATCTTTAAAAAAAAATGGATGAATTATGGTATATTCATATAATAGACTACTATTCAACAATGAGAAGGAATAACAAAGATAAATCTCACAAACAGAATTGGAGAAGGAAGCCACTTCCAAGAGCGTACATAATGTACTTTATTTATATAAAGTTCAAGACAAGCAAAACTATGCTATTGGAAGTCAGGATGGTGGTTAACTTGCAGGGCATGATGAACAGAGAATTCAGGGGGCCTCTGGGGTGCTGGTCATTTCTATTTGCTTGATCTAGGTGCTGGTTCTACAGGTGTCTTCACTGAATTCATCCAGGTGTACGCATCGGGTTTGTGAACATTCTGTCCATAAAAAAAGTGACTTTAAAGAAAATATGGTAATACCTTTACATTTTAAGCACTGTGCTATGGAGGATACGGGAGTGTGCAGAACGCAATTCTGCTCTCAAGTGATGGGGACAGAGAGGAAGCCCCCCCAAGTGTGGACAAAGGGTGAGTCAAACTGCCATTTTCCTCCAGGAGCTATGCAAGGCTTCATAGAGTATCAGCGTGTAGAGGAGGCTGTTGGCAGAAGGAGGGGCCCCTGGAATGGAAGCTGGTGAGCCAGAGCTGCCCTCCAGAAGTTCAAGGGTGCTCTGACTCCCTGGGGCCTGGAGTTGGTGGTGGGCTGCCCAGAGGACAACACACGAAGAGGCCTTCCCTGAATCTTCGGGCACGTCAAAACCATCTAATTCTGGAGATGCACCTTTGGAAAAACACTTTCTGTAGGCAGAGCTGAGTGGAAACACGCTGTTTCTAAAAGGATCCCCAAAGCTCTGAATTATTTATTCACTAAAGCATTCATCATTGATGAGGCCCCCTGTTGGCTTCCCTCCTCCACAGACACCTTCCCTCCCCCTCACCACAGAAGGTTCTGGTTGGCAGTGTTACCTTTGGAAATCGTCTTCCCACCCATCATTTGGACCTTTGCTATAGATGGAGCAGATCATTTTTATTTTTATTTTTCAGAAGAGCAGACAGCCTTCCTCAGCTCTCATGTGGGCCAGTGGTGGGGCTCCTGAGTGGCAACCCAGCACTCTTTCCGGCAGTCCATTCTGCTGTTTGTGGAGAACTGGGCGGACCCCCCCCTTGGGGGGGGGGGGGG